ATTTGATGCTGGAAGAGATTATAAAAGACAGCAGAAGAAAACAGCATCAAAGTGGTTTCCAGTGGTTCAGCTGAGGTGCAGAAGAGAATGTAACGTGACATAACTCACTCATGACAACAGCAGAAATCACTACTCTATCACAATTTTTTCACCTTGATTGCAACTTGAGAAATAATTGAATGTGAAACTACTGCTGCAACCTACTTCCTCAAATATTTGCACTTTAAACAACAGCCCCTCATCTGCTGCTCCACCCCCACAGAAATAACTGGTACTCCTATTTTTCTCCTCTAAACAAATTTTTAATGTGACTCATACATCTATGTGCTTTTATTCTCTTATGCTGCAATTTGGTCTCTTCTATGCTGCTTTGGAATGGAGTTTTCATTTCAAACTGTGTTTTACCTAGCTACAATACCACACCATAAAAAACTGTAAGACCTACTCAGAAAAAGGTTAACATCCAAGCCATGGGGAATTCCAAAGGAGAATTGTGAAATATTTGGCCACACAGTTTAAGCTCAATCAGCAAGGAGAAAAATGTGTTATACAAGCATTAAGTCAGTCACTTCAGACTAAATTAAGATTTGAAGAAGCTCAAGTTCCTCCTTTCCCCCACCCCCTCTGTTTAGTGTAAGCTGCATGAAAAGAGAGACAGAAGTTGGTTATTGATGTTAACAATAGTTCAGTTTTGGAAGTTCAGTCATTCTTATTATTATTTGGCGTTCACTCCGGATGAAAATAGCTTCAAGAACAGGGACAGTTCTAAGTTGAATACTCTACAGAAGAAATGTCTATTAACTGAATGGGACTTTGGGGAAAGGAAACAAACCCAAGGACAAAAAGCATAGTGGCAAGGGCACAGGAAATGGCATACAGCAAGGTCAAAACTGTGTGGGAGAGAGTAGAAGGGCCCAAGCTTAAAACTACATAGAGAGACTTATGCTGATGACAATCCAGCATTTCACAGAACATTGTTTCTTTCAGACAGTTTCATGCTTACAAGCCTCCATGCTCACCAGAACAGACTAGTTCAATTTTTTAGGATGTTTATTAGGTGGAGTTCATAGGGTTTTTTCATGCCTTCCTTCTCCACATATTTTTCTTTACATTTGAAATTGTAATTCATAATTTCTCTGACTAGGGTGAAGCTGAGAAGTTTATTTCAGGTGATAGGAACCCAAAGAATAAACAGGGAAAGAATTTGTAATCATACTTTCATATTGCCTGTGCTTAGTGTCTGGGTCATATAGACATAAACAGGGAAGTTATACAGCATCATTACCATTTCAATCAAGGCCTAGAAAAGGGTTTATTAGTTCCCAAATATATTAATTCAGAACTATATTTCTCACCTTTGTGCCTGTACTGCAATGCAGAATGATTCTTCTTCTCTTTACTGATAATTGGCTTTTGCTTTTCAAAAAACACTGAGGTTTTCATTGGGTGCTACCATAACTAATGCAAAAATCTTACTAAAATCCTGCTGTGTGTTGAAAGACCTTCCAAGAAATTTCTGGTTGGAGGAAAACCTTCCACTCTACACTAGCAAACATTCTACATTTGCTACTCTGATCTGAACTTCCACTCTATAATAGCTTATATTATTGACCCTATAGCAAAGATAATGTGCTTAACTAATTACGAAAGATAATGATTTGACACAAGCTGGACTGTGTATGCTGATTTGTTCAAGTACCCAGCCATTTCCCTGCTATGTGACACCAGAACATGAGATGCTTTGTATGTACTTGTTTTGGTTGCAAGTGCGTTTCTTAAATCAGTGTCCAATCACCCAAACCAGTAATTTTTTACAGGTGCACAGGTCTTTGGAAATCTTCCTTGCAGTCTAAACTCACAAACTTCAGATATTTTAATAACTAGGCAGACACTCAGCATCTTATTTTGAAATAAGGCTGATTCTTCTTTATATTAGAAACTTGCTGTTACCCATCTAAGAGCACAAGAGTTTCAATTCTGTACAGAGTGAAACTGCAGGTTTAGCTAAACATTAATAGAAACGCAGAGCATGCTTTTGCTGCCTTTTTTCCCCCAAACCTATGAAATGTGGGAAGCAAAATACAGCAATAATTCCCTTCAAAAGGGGTGGGAGTAAATGCACTGCAGTTCAGAACTCCATAATATAGTTTGATTTCTGAAGGCATAGACAGTTACTGGTTTTATTGATTTTAAAAGTCCAGTTTCCCTCAGAAGTTGCACAAAATCTCTTGGCTCCTCTGACACACAAAATAACCAAAAACCAAAAAAAGTACTTCCTGCTACATCACGTGTTAGGGGAGGCCCCACTGGTAAGAGCAAATGTATATTGCTGCTGCTGTGAGTAAAGAATGTAATTTAAAATAAACCAGGAACCTGCAATTGCTTTAGTCCTTCATCGATGAGTTTTGTCATCAGTTGGCTTGTAATCAGATTGCTGAATTCACATTTCCCTTTTTCTCCCCTCTGTCTTTAAAAAAACTCCAAAACTTAAAGCAACTTACTTTAACTTATTTATCAAAACCAGGATTCCAGTGTTCATCTGGGTAGTTTATTTGCAGTCCTAAGGTCTTGCAGCAATGCCTTCTCTCTAAAGTGCTGACCCTCATTTCACGAATGAGGATATAACCCCACCTATTCATAGTCAATACAACATTCAGTGTAACATTGCATAATTTATGCATGAAATTATTCAAGAAAAGCAGCTATCTTGCTGAGTCTTTGAAATACATAAACTGACTCTTCAAACTGATGTAGACAGATGTACAAAAAGAACCAAAAAGAGAAATGGATAGCAAAATTGGGGAAATGATAACAAAATCACTTGCAGATGCCTTAAAGCTTCCGTACATATTATCTGTGTATATAATGTAAGGTCCTTGCTGTTAGCTGTTGCAAAAATGTATTTCCAGGCACTTAAACTAACAAAAAACCAAAAAAAACCCAAAAACAACCAAAAAAAAAAAAACCAACCAAAAAAACCAGAAGAGAGCATTGGAGGAGACTGGCCTTCAACAAAGGCAGAGGAAGCACTCAGGGCCTTAGTGAGAATGGGTCTAAAGACCAAAAAGAAATTAAAGAGAATAAATTATGCCTATAATAGCATTAACATTTTTACATTAGCCCAAAGAACAGCTATGTAGAATCTTTATCTCAGTTCTGGTTTGGGCCTTTCAGTACAATAAAGACTTTGAGGTTTCATTCCCCACAGTCCATACCTCAGCACCAGACTCTGAGCATTTGACATTTAAAAACCCCTGGGAGGCCGTGACAAGAGCTTCCAGCAAAGCTGCAAACACCAAATACTCTTACCAAGAAAACCAAAAATGTGTACTTGTACTAGGGCAGTGGAACAAGTCAAAGTAAGGTTTGCAGATTAAATGAGCTAAATCCTCCAATTTCTGCTATGCAATGAGGTATATTTTGTTATCTCAAAAGAATGCTGCAGAGAGAGGAATATTTCCCTCCAGGCTGAACTAACAGATCTTCAGACCGGAATCCAGGCATGGGCCAGTGAGCGTAGAGAATTAAATACCAAACTCCTCACTATTTTCTATTCCCATGGCTTTAAATTCTGTCAAAATAGAGGCACAGTTTCCACAGAGCTGTTGGAAGTCACTTGTAACTTTTTAGAAGTATTTTGGGTGTACAAGCTGCAGCACATACAGTAAGATTAGTTCTGCAATTTTACTTCTGTTCTTTCCCCCATCTCATCCTGTTAAATGCAATTGAGTGGGTTTGCTTCCAACAGTTTGATGCATAAAGCAATTGAATTTATACAGTGCATTAATTGTATTATATGCCTTTTGTGTAGTTTTTGGGTGCAAACTTGGTATAATTATGTGGCACCAGATTTGGGGTCTAACAAGCTAGTTGCAAAATAATGTGATCATGTGATACTGCATTTAAGAAATTTCTTTACCAAATACTGTAAATTAATTTCCACTGTTGTAACATAATTCTGAAAATTCAACTCTAATGAGGAACTTCTCAGAGAATAAGCAGATGACCTGAATTCTCACTACAAGAGTTTATATACTCTATTTCTGTATTCATCACTCTGAGAGCAGTACAAGTGAAATTCTGCTTTACTTATTTTCATGGAGAAAGAAAGAATTTCACAGAAGTAATAGAAAATTACTGGGGAAAAAAATAAAGACTAATTAGATTTATTCTCAGAGAAGAAAATAATGCTTTCTGAAGACTGCCTTAACTGGAATGGAAAAATTCACTTTATAATACACCATTGTATTATCAAAAATATATCCCCAAATAAGCAAGATTGGATAAAATAAGGTGGTTTTTTTTTTTTATATACAGCACTATATCAAGGAAGCACCTCTCAAGTATGGCAATGCTTTTGTAATTAAAAACTGTAATTTTGGGTAGGAAAGCTGAGTTCCTGTGATCTAGGTGCAGAGATAAAATTTTAATATACATTACTCTTCTAACAGAAAGACTGAAAAAAGTTTCTAATAGGATTCAAAGACTAACTACAAAATTACAATTTTGAGTCCCAACCCCCTGCCCTAATCCATTACTGACTGCATTACCAATATTTAACCATAAGCTGTTCTATAATACAACAGGAAAAGTTGTTTTCATAATGATTAATTCTCTAATGCTAAAGCATTCAAGATTAGTTACTGTACTCTAGTTCACTCACTGCACAGTCAAGTATTGTGGTATTTTGTAACAGGAATTTGGAGATGATCCATTGACTCTGCTGTTTGAAAAACTGTGTTTTCAGACCATGGTAAGTGTAAGTGTGTTTAATTTTCTGTTTGGACACAGCACAATAAATCTTTATAACATTAACAGGAAAGCTTTTATAAAATTATTCCTATCATCACAATCAGGGAATGTCTAAAACTATTGAAAGTAGAAAACATGGAATTTACACCAAACTGCTCACAATTAAAGCTTGGTCATTGTTTAGACAAGTGATATTAATAATGTTGGGAATACTAAAACATCAATCACAAGATAGCAACTTTACAGAATAGATGTTAAGCAAACAATTTAATGTGATGAGAGATTTACAAAAGAAAACAGCTGCCCCAAATATTTTGTGGGGAAAAAAGTCAACATTAAGTGTATCAAACAGGTCACACTCTGTATCTGTCAATAGTGCTTCAAAATTAACATGACCTTTACATACTGTTAGAGCTTACAAAATACTGTTCATGGTATTTAAACATAAACAAAATACCCCCAGCTGTTTGCCCAACAGATTAATAGATACAAGGAACTCAGGTCTCTAACATTTAACTTAACACAGAGAATGATCTTACACGTATACATCCTGTTAAGTTCTGGGAACAGTTTGCAGTTCTGTATAGAAAAATGGATCTGATGCAGCATTTAGCTGAATGTGAGAACAGGCACATAGAAAAACTTGCACAACACATAAGACTTCCAGACTCTCAAGAGAATTCATAAGGTTTCTGCAAGATGGAGATTTATTTCCCATTTACAAAGAACAAATGTTAATTACAAGACAAATATGACAATTAAACATACAAGCTCTCAAATTGTACAAAGATAATTTCTCCTGGTTGAAAACAGTGCTAGCTTAAGAGACCTTTGCAAAAATGCAGTGTAATCCCCTGCAGTTACAAGGGGACGTGACTGAACAGGTAAGACACTGATTCACCATTGTGTGTTCTTCGAATTGCCTCTGCCAGGATCATGGAAATGTCAATAAACTGAAAGAAAAATTGAGAAGAAAAATTTGATGGCATGCCAAGAGCAATAAACTACTCAGTTTAGAACCATATAAACAAACATTCCATCTACCTTTGTAGCTTTTATTTCTAGAAAGTAATAAAACATTAAAGCCTAGGCATTGGATATATACATAAGAACCAAGTAAGAACTCAAATTGAGTAAGAAAGCACTGACTAGGATCACTGAACATCATATTGTTGAGTACTTCTGACAAAGGGCATGTTGTCAAAAAGCCCCACTATTCTTGCCATCAGATGGCAGTGTCTGCTTCACATAAATGCAGTTTAAAGGAAGCACACCTTTTGAAGTGCTTGCCCTGTTTCAATAAATACCAAATGTTAAGCTTTTAAAAAATCCAGTAAAGCATTTAAAGCCTCAATCTCTTATGCTTTTCTCCACTGTATATTAAGGAAAACCTCCAAAAGGGAAACATGACTTTTCAGAACAATTCCATTTGTGTTTTTCAAGAAAAAATAATGTCACCTAAGATTTCTGTGGCCACCTCAACAGAATAACTAAGGCCCTACAGGAAATATTGTACAAATAATATTGATTAAAAAAAAAAAAGAAAAATCCAGTCAATTTTACATTTGTCACTCTTTCACAATCAAGCATACTTAAGGTGTGGCAAATACCAAATATTTTGAAGTGCCCTGTTGTATTACCTGAATCCCCTAAAAACAGTTAACATGTTTTAGCAAAATGTTTTGCAAAAAATGGATTTAAGTATATTAATTTTGTCTCAAGGCACAGATTCTAGCACCAGTGAGCAGTAAAATGCAAATACCTAGTCTAAAGAAATTACATAAAAACATCACTGTACCTGTATTTTTGGGCAATGTTTCATTTTCTCTTCTTGGGGGATTGTGTTGGTTACCACAACAGCCTCAAACGATGCATTATTAATCCGAGAGAGTGCAGGACCAGAAAAGATGCCATGAGTCAGAATGGCATAAACTTTAGTAGCTCCAGCAGACATTAACCTGTAAAACACACAAAAATAGCATGCTGTGATGCATGTTTACATACAACATGGCTATAGATAAAGCTGGATACAAATCTCCAGAATATATTTTACTTATGAAGTCCTACATACAAAATATCTACAAAATAATTCAGATATTTGTATAACCTCAAAAAGTTTGAATTGTCTCAGACAAATCCCCAACAAAAATTGTAATTAAATTAAAAAGTTCATATTTGCAGCAGTGATACTAATATACAGTGCTGCACTTTTGACCATATCAGCACAACATAAAATGAACTCCAATACAAGCCTTCTATCTTAACCAGGCAAATAATTAAGTAGGTTGGATGGCAGTATTCACAACTCCATTGTGCCTCCATTATTTTCCACTTTATTTTTATTTGCAATTCAAACAGTTCTGCTTGGAAGGAGTTTCTGAGAAAGAAGAAATGTTAATGATTAAAAGCCTAGCTTACTGCAAGGTTATGGGAAGACATGCTGCTGATCCAAGCACACAGTGAAGTGATGCATGAGGAGGAAAAAAAGTATAACTCAAAAAGCTAGAACATCTTGTGAATGAGTCAAAAATATCCTAATTTAGTTTCTAATAGCCTCAATGCCTCCAGATGCTCAGCTATGTCCTACCTGCTTCTCTAGCTTTAGTAACAGAGGCCGTGAGGAATTGCCTTTTAGCAATCAGATCATCACAAAGGCACAGGAGGAAGCATAAGAGAGAAAAAAACACAAAACCACAGAAATATAATCTCATTTTGAATGATTTAACAGAACTTAAGTTTTCCAGTTCTTTTTCAGCACTACATTTAGTACTTGCAGCCTACAAGCTGTATCCATTACAACAGGGTGAGTATGTACCAAGTGTGTGTACTTCGGTTTTCACTTAATCAAGATGATTTGATGTATCTGAAAAGATATTTCTTAGTTCATCTGCTTGATATGCATCTGGGTTGCTGAGACATAAAGAGTTCTAAGGCGTATTTTGGTGCAGGAGTCTTATTATACAAAGTACATCCCACCTAGGTTTGACTAATGAGAAGCACTAGTTCATGCCAAGAACATGACACAAGGCAGCATCACTGAAGCAAAAGCATCCTTCTTAGTGAACATTGCAGATGAATGACAGTTTTATAATATGGTCTCTAGAAATGTACTGGAGGTAAATAAAGAGTACATCTTTCAAAACAGGAAAGAAATAAAGGTTTTCTACAATAATTAATTTCCTCTATGCACAAGAGTATTAAAAATATGTTGGCTAAGCAATTTGTGATTTTGATCTTCAAGGGCATGGCCTAAAGGAATATTTTGAGGTATGATATGCAGATAGCAAACAACTACACAACATCTCTGCAAAATTTCATCAAATTTCCATGAAAATTGTAAGAAACACAAGACTATATGTGAGTTTTTTACATCCTCTATATAGGTGCAAACAGCAAGTCTGCAACTAAAAACTATAAACTCATGAGATTAACTTTACTTCAAACCACCAAGGACAATGTCTAACTCATTTGTTGCTTTCATACCATTGCCCACAGCATTTCCCTGTGAAAATTTGCATCTTGTAGCTTGGACAGGTACATGTTTCACTGGGTAAAAAACTGGTTGGATGGCTGGGACTAGAAAGTGGTAGTGAATGGAGTTATATCCAGCTGGCAGCCAGTGGCTAGTGGGGGGTTACCCTAGGGCCAAACACATTTGACACCTTTATCAGGGATCTGGACGAGCAGAGTGGGGACACCCTCAGTTAGCTTTGCAGGTAACACCAAGCTGAGTGGGAGTGTTGATCTGCCTGAGGGCAGGAAGGCTCTGCAGAGGGATCTGGACAGGCTGGATCAATGGGCTGAGGTCATTTGAGGTTCAATATGACCAAGTCCCAGGTCCTGCACTTTGGTCACAACAACCCATGAAGTGCTACAGGCTCAGGGAAGAGAGGCTGAAAAGCTTCCTGGTAGAAAAGGACCTGGGGGTGCTGAGAACCAGATGAACATGAGCCAGCCCTACTATTAACTGAAAAGATTCAGCATAAAGACACCTGGAAAACCTACTTAGCACTGCTAGAGCTTTAGTTAGGCTAGTGGTTCTAAATTCACAAGTTCCTCTTCAAGAAGTAGAACAGCTAGAAGGAATTCAGAAGGTATCACAATTGAACAGAAGTCTAGAACCCTTGTGGAAAGACTGAACAAACTTATTACTCAAGTCAAGAGGGAAATGAGAACTCTTCAACCAACTTTCAGACAGAAGACAGGAAAACTTATGCTCACCTCCCCAGATAAAAAGGACAAGTAGTTTTATGCTTAAGGTGTACAGTGAAAACTAAAATTACATTTGCATTGGACACTATGGTGAAAATACTTTACAGTGTTAAATCCAGTAAAGCTCTGTTAAAGACTGCCTAAGGAGAGTGGAAAGGCTCTGTGATGAAGTTCAAGGAGGAAATTATTTTTGACCTCTTGTTTCTGCCTTGGAACTGTATAGTGCACGAGATGGCCCAAGTCCTTTCCAAGTTATGACATTTTATTTATTCTGTGCTCTTACTAGGTACAGATCATTTATTTCTGTAAATATTTTCTCAATTTCATATTCTAAATAAGGACACAGCTGAATCACAGAACTGTGACCTATCAACTCAAGGGTCAGAATGACTTCATACTACGGAGATCAGGTTGGGTTATAGGCTTTGAGAACAATTGCAGTCATCAGCTGTGAGTGGTGAGAACACTATAGTGAGACAGATCATAGTAACACTTACTTGTCTGCTGCATGACATATTGTGCCACATGTGTCAGCCATATCATCAACAAGAATTGCTACTCTGTCTTTCACATCACCAACCAAGACCATTCTGTCCACTTCATTTGCCTTCTTTCTTTCCTTATGAATGAGAGCAAATTCCACATTCAGTCTGTCAGCAATTGAAGTAACCCTAAGTTACAGGAAGAAATGCACCATGTTTAGAGAACCACTTTAAAAGAAAAAACAGTCATACATATGTATTTGTCACAAAACAGAGTTTTTGTCTCCTGGCTTTCAAACTACCACAGCAAAAACTTTTGCAAGGAATGAGACAGGGAGAAGCAATCTTAATTCACTGCTAATTATGAACCAGAGTGTCTTAAGTTATACTCAAAAAATATTTTTTTTTAATTGAGTTGACTTTGGTTTTCTGTCATTAAGTGCCTGGCTTTGAAAACATTTCAGCTATTCACAAGGTTTTATTAAGCTTCTGCAATACCAGTCACACTAGGTAATTTAAAGTAGGGGGAAGTCAATTCTAAGCCTACGGGAATGTGCACTTTAACACTCTAACTGAAAAATAGCATTGCAGGGTTTGAAACCAAGCCAAAGGGAGAAAAAAGCAAACAAGTTAATAGTGATTAATAATTATTTTCACAGTACTTGACTAGTAATCAAGTAGCTTACTTCATTAATAATTCCCTTAGCATACATCTGCTTGACAAAGACCTTTTAAAACTCTTCAGGGTGACCTCTGGTGGCCAAACAAACTTCTAATAATAAGCTTCACTTGTTACAGACTTCTGATTGCTTTTTTTCCAGTTTGTTTAAAATAATAGAGCTCTTAGGTATAAAGAGACAGGAATAAACAATTCCATGTTTTTTCCTAAATGCTGATGCAACCTTTTAGCCTGCCTTTTTAGACTATGCCTAGAATGTTGTTTACAAGGTTACTAACATGCATGGTTAATGAAGAATAGAGTTTTGTTTCTTTACCACCTAAATATGGAAGTTTTAGTTATTTTATTTCAACAAATGGATAGGAATCAAAACCCCCAAAATTTTGGCAATTTTTTCTGGATAGTGTAATTTCATAGCAAGTCTCAATACCTCAGAGGCATTAAGATATCAATAGAATTTCCATGCCTTATTTCAGTTGCAACATCTAATAAGCTGGGGAAAAACCAAACAAGTGGTAAGAAACAAAAGACAATTCAAGCATTTTAAATGAGTGCAAGAAAATGGATTTTAAGTTAATACTTACAAATCTTAATTTTTAAGATTGTACAGATTTTTATTTTAGATTTTAAATTGATGTTCAATTTTTACATTCTATTAATTTATTAGGTTTTATTTTGAAGTTCTACATATTTTAAATGGAAAGGCCAAACAATTTTCTTTACATATTATTACTGGAGGTTAAGGAGAACCCATGAATTTATTGAAAACAACATCTACCCCTTCTTCACTAGAAACTGGTTTATTGTATTACAACAGAAAGACACTAAAATAGACTTCACTATCTATATGAAATACAGTGAGAGTGATCTTTGAAGAAATAAAACTTTATTATTAATTTGATAATGCAAAAATATTTGTTAGGGTTAAAAATGCTGTCTTCTGACTTGAATACTAAGCAAAGATTGCATTTTGTGTTAAAAACAAAATCAACATAAAAATCAAATGCAAAAATAACAGTATCCTGGTAGGAACAAACAAATAAATTTAACTAAGTGATCTTTTAATATTTTAGAATACTTTCTATATTCTTCACATTCTTGATTAATCTAAAAAAAAACCCCCAAAAAACTAGGAGTTCCACTCAGTCTTATTTCCCTAAAAATCATTACAACATGAATGTTCACAACAGACTCAAGGACTTCAATTTAAATCCAATTATGACAGTTTTTCACACTTTTCCCCATACTACATTTCAGACATTTAAATTGCTATTGGCTTACAGGAGTCTTACTTCATTTATCTTTGTTCCCTCTGCAGCAGCAGCATGAGCAATAAAACCTGAGAATAAGCATTTTGCCTCAATGGCATGCTTTATGACCTCACCAGCCAGTCTGCTTCTGAGCTTTGGCATTGGTTTATGCTCAATCAATACCAAATTAAACAGTATGCTAAATGAGTAACATGCTGTGAATGAAGAAAGCCTCAAATTAACTAAGTTACCCTTCGCCACTCAAACTTGCATTCCCTTTTTCTAGTATTTATAATGCAATACTTGAGGTCAGCAGGTTTACATCTGGAACTCAATAATGGAAAGAAAAAAAGAAATATGAGTCAAGCAAGCTCTTACCTAAATGCCAGCAGGTACAGTGGGAATAGGCCATGTGCTTTGACAGAGAAGGGAAGCTTAGGCAGTTCCAGAGCGAAGCAGGAAGAGGTGCAGCAACTTGACTAAAGAAGCAAGCAGCAGGAAAAATCTCTTCCCTCTGGTGGAGGGATTCAGCTAATGAGGCCATATCCAGGGAGAGAGAAAAATACCTTCTTTAGAGTATAGAAAGCTCCTGAATGTTTTCAAGCATGAACAGCATTGGAAGAACTAGCTGTTCTGTTTTTACAACGCAGTTGAATTAATCAGTGATGTACCCTATATCTTGCACAATTCACAGAGGAATATAGAAGACTAGATAAACTAGATCATTAACCACTAACTATATGTAAATCTAATTGTTTTAGACTTGCATAGTACCTTTTTGCACCACCTGCATCAGGTGAGACTATGATACAGTTTCTCCACTCGGGAATGTTCTCTTTAATCCACTGCAGGACTGCAGGTTCTGCATACAGGTTATCTACTGGAATGTCAAAGAAACCCTAGTCCAAAAGAGAAAGAGTTTCATGAGTAGATGTTTGTATCTTACCTGGAATGAAGACAAAGGGAAAGAATCAAGCCCTTGCCTTTCATGAATGGCAGAACTTCATTAGTATTTTACACTGGTCTAATTCTGGTTTTGCTACTACTATCCAATTCTGCTGAAGTCAAATAAATATTAAGATCTCAAAAAAAAAAAAAAATCAACCAAGAATAGTGAAAAAGGAAACAGGTATTCTCAATTGATATAAGAATCAGAAAAGATGATCACCTTCAGGCACTCAAGTAAACTCATGCTAGCAAAAAGTTGTCAAAACATCCAGTGAATAATACTCAACTTCCATAAATTTCAACTGCTTAACATTAACAGCAGTATTTCAACATGGGGGGGACTCAAACTAAAATGGAATCTTTGTACAAGTTGTAAAAACAAGAAATCTGGATTAGACCTTTTTATTTATGTGACAGCCATCTAGCATAAGAAATTCTGATTAAATGGAGCGCCAGAACTGAAAGATATGGTGTTTTCTATAAAAAATAAGTTCTCTTAAAACAAGGTACATATGAGAATGATGAATTATGTCTGCTCTGTGTCTGAGGCAAAGGTTTTGTGATTTGTTGGATTCAGCAGTAAGCCAGATAAGGGTTGCCAGGCTCCATCTCCATTTCTTTTAAGAAAATATTACACCCTTGGCTGTAACAACAAAACTCTACCTAGGGCAACATTATAATCTCTGACAAGGCTAAGATTAAGAGAATTTTCCCCAAGCCAGTATATTTTATATTCTGGAAGCTCTTATATTAGACTTGGCAAATTCTACCAAAACTCCAATGCACAAATATTTGAAGTAACTGCAAAATCACCCCATAAAATCAAAACTGATCTCTTTCTAAAATGGAGCTTCATTCGACACAGGTAGCAAGGCTTTCTCTGAACCCTCACAGTTCTGTACATAGCCTTTCAAAATAATGACCAAAGCCACAGAGAATTGCTGTCAGCTTGTCACATTAATTCAGTAGAGCTTCTAGGACAAGAGGTAAGAACCAACAGTTACCTGGATCTGAGAAGCATGCAAGTCCATGGTGATGATGTGGTCAGCCCCTGCAACTGACAGCATGTTGGCAACAAGTTTTGCAGAGATTGGGGCACGGCTCTGAGAAATAAAGCACAAACATTTACATTTAAAAAAATATTTCTACTAGATACAATCAATAAGAAGATTAGCTATTTTTCTTGCTTTTTTCCTTTACAATATTTCGAATCTAGATACGAAAAGCTTCAGAATTTTAGTCAAACCAGCCTCTCAATATTGTTACTAGGGTTTTGAAACTCAGTAAAGCATTTAGGAAGATCTAAATCACTTTGCACAGTCTGACTAATAATGCTTCGTATTAAAGAGAAAATTTGGGATATAGTTTTTCAATTCTTCTACTTAAAATTTCAGCTAACTTCACTTCTCTACCCCACAGAAACATCAATTCTATCTTGTTCTAAGAAACATTGCAAAACCCGAAGATTGAAGGCAAAATGAACCCAGCTTTAAAACAAAGTTAGTATCAAGCATTTCTTCATAACATGGTAAATCTTGTAGCAGATCCTTGTTGGCAGGAGTATTTTACCCTGACTTTTTTTTTTTTAATTTATGTTTAATTCCTGGATGCAATTAGGAGTCTAGAACTCCCAAAAGGCTCAAGGGAGGATGAAGAAATCCTAAGTAGAAAGAATTAAAGAAGAATAAAAATCTTATTAGCAAAGTTAATGCCCATGTCAAGAGGTTTTTAAAAGCATCAAGGAGGCAGAACAAACAAAAAAAGGAAACTATGACTGGAGGATACAACATTTTTTTTTTTAGGTACTCCAAAGTTTTTTCATTTTTTTAACCTTTGTAAAAACCTGAGTTTCCCTAGACAGTTTTCTCTATACTAAAGAAAACCTCCTGCTTTCTTTTGCTAATCTTTAAATAAGACTAATAGCTGGCAATAACATTAGCATGAAGGCAGAACCGCAAGTCAGATTTTCCATCTCAATATCAAACTGCTTTCTGCTGGCACAGTATTCTCTCCTGCAACATCTCCCTGTCAAACAGCCTCATTTCTCCTCCCAGGAACTTCCTCTCCTTCCAGACCATAAACACAATTACAGAGCACCTCTGCTTTCATTCCATTGATGCTCAAGGGCATAAGTGGCAATAAGCTGAATCACTGACAATGTAGCCTGGATACTTTTCTATCTGTGTCCTATCAAGAAGCCAATATTTCCATCAAAACTGTTTCTAGTCTGGGTGGACACTGGGCATTTCTCTGTTTTAACCTGCAGATTGACAGCACACTTCCAGAATAGAAACTGAGATACCACAGTCTTATTTTATGGCCAGATCAAGTTTATCACCATTATTACTGAAATTCCTCATTTTGGAATCCATCCCTTTTGGGTGTTGTGTTTCACAGAACATCACCCCCAGTTTGTCTGTGTAAAACACACAGAAAGCAGATGCAACAGCCAGCAATTCCCTGGATCTTGGCAATTCAGATGCATGTCGCTCCAGAAGAATTCATGATCATTACTGCTCAGCACAGTTGAGAATACTGCTCTTCATTAAAGCTCAGTTCTGTAAGTTATCCAGAGCTTTCTGGATATTTCTATAATTAGTAGCAATTTTTTGTTCATGCCATTTGAATTCCTGATCACTTCAGCTCATTTTAGCACCTGACATTTTAATGCTGAACTTAAAAATACTCTCAAATCTCGGTCAACATCTAACAAAAAAAAAATATTTAGTATCTACTCTTTTCATTCTGTTGCAGTGTTCTCTTACCAGCTCTTTGCAAAGCTCTAGTTTAATGCCTCCACTAAGCTGGACCAACAGGCAAATCTGAAATGATAGGTTTGCTGTTCTGCTTGTACTATCCTATCTTTCCAGGCTAGACACTTCCCTTCATGGGAACCTCAGATAACCTGACCTCATTATTCAGAGACTTGGATGACAAAGTTTCATGGAACTCATGATTTTCCTTATAAAACAGTTTGTAAGGTTCGCTTCTGATGAGAGAGGTAAGAACACAGATTCACAGTATTCATTGTTCAATTTGTTGATGTAACTTTAGATGATTTTCAGAATTATTAGTATGGAATGCAGTATTAGATTATGCACAGAAACTAAATTGTTAAAAAAATCACTTGAATTACCAGTGGCAGGGTAAATCCACAAAACTAATATACACATCATCACAAGAGTAACTGTGCAAAGGACACATAGCTGAGTAAAAGTTGTCCATTAAGATCAAAGCTCTGTTGCTTTTAAGCATCTTAGTACATTGTCTTGTTCAATATTCATCACATGCATACTGAACAAAAACAAAAACAAAAAANAAAAAAAAAAAAGAGAAGGAAATCAAAGAAAGCCCAAAGATTTATAACTGGAACTTTCACTTCCAAGAAAGCCAGTTGTGAAATGTATGGATATTGAATGTTCACTAATGCATTACACAAATTTATAATTTCAAAAATGAGATTTGCTTTGAAGCCTCAGAAATTGACAGCCATTATCTTGAATATCCAAATAATTTTTAAACTAGAATCTAGGAGTTTTCTTGTAGCAGATATTCCACAGGATTACTGTCATGGCCCAGGTGAAACACAACTGAAATCAAGAAGTGAAACTGAAAATGTTCCTAGTTATATGTAATGTAACCCAGTAAGTTTCACCCTTTAAGGCCATATTAATGGAAATGCATAGTGTTAGATTAAAAAAAAAAAAAAAAAGATACCTACCCAACGCTCCACGGACCCCTTCTACAAATCAAAAAAACAAAGTTACATGAGCTGTAGAACACCAAACCCATCTGTCACTGTACTTCTAACTTATCTCAAAGGCATCTCTGCAGCATCCTACATAAATATTTCCTGCCCACAGCTTGGAAGGTAGGCATAATTAGAGGCTGTATAAGTGCAGTTATAGTCAAAGCACAGAAACATCTGAGCTATTTTTAAGTTTAGCTAGCTTGTGTATCAGAAATATTCTAGTTTAGGACAGCACTTGACTGAATATAAATTAATTTACTGACTTTTTTATCATTCCCAGTAAGCCTTTGTTTTCTTTTAATCTGTTCCTCATTTAAAGATAGGTTTAGTGCTAAAATTTTCAGAGTAGACAAGATTGTTCAGACTAAGATTTTTACTACAAGGCCCTTTCCTTACATGAATAAATGAAGAGCACTTCCACTGTTCTCAGAAATCATAACTGCACCAGAGGTATGACAAATACATGGTTATTTTAGGCAGCAGGGATTCAGTCTATTTAGTTCACAATGACTTAAAGTCACTAACTTAAATTCAAACTAGAAAACAACATCCATCTACTGAAGATGACACTGCTTCAGTTCATAGTCAAGCAAACTACAGCAACGTCTTCCACCACAGAAATTCTGTGTGTGATCACAGGAAGAAAATGGCTGGCACTTTACTGACACTTCAGCACAAAGCTTGTGCACTCATGATGGGTCAAAGACCAAGTGATCTGATGCAAGCAGGAGGGAAGATGTCCCTGTCAATAAGCTGCCCAATGTTGACAGCTGTATTATAACTTATTTTGCAACACGCAGGTCAACTACCAAGGTTAATTTCCAAAGATGGCAAACATTTTCTCAATTGCAAAACAGAGAGGGGAAGAAGCCCTCACAATCAACAACAACAAAAAAAATATATGCCTACAATTGTGGAACTCCGTGAAACACAGAGAACACTCTGGAAAAAAAAAAACCTCAATCTCTATTAATCAAAATCACTTTTCTAGCCTATTCATTTTCAGATGTCATTTCTGAAATACTCCTGGATGTCATGTTCTGTGCCATCACACTGGGGTGGTGGGTTAAAATGTCTCTGGAAGTCTGCCATGTGAAGTTTGGATACCCTTGACACAACATGCATGGAAATGCTTGGAAATTTTGGAATATACTCATCCTTCTCCCACACTGCGAACTTAAGAGGATGGTACAGCAGAACTTCCCAAACATGAAATGGGAAATCAAAACATAGTGAGATGCTCTCCCTTCTTTTCAACAAAAGGCTTACTGTTATCCTTTCAAGGTCTTTTTATATAAAGTATTTCAGCCCTTGTGATCAAGGGAAAGCATCATCCACTACAAAACACAGCAAATATGAAGTACCAAGAGAATTAGGCAAAGAATAGAGTCTTACTTTTTAATTACTGAATTCCATTTTTGGAAGTATGACAAGTAGACCTTCACTGTAGTAGTATGGTATTACAGAGCCTGCACTTAAATAATTAATATACCAGAAAATAAGGGTTTTTTTAGTTTTGTTCTTATATATCACAGGCTATTACATATTTTGTAATAATTGCTATTATTTTTAGCTTCTCCATTACTTCATTCCTGTTAGGTTTTTAATCTAAAAGAATAGAAAGGTCAACAGAAGGCTTGCAGAATGGTTTGCTTGATGCCCAAAGTGAAAAAGAGGGGGCAGTCCATTTACAGGAAGTAAAGGAGAGAGTCAATCTCCGAAAAATACAACCATTGCAATCCAACCTTTAAAACTAAATTCACATTTCTTATCAGTTCTGTTCAAGTGAGCTTACTTTAAGTGTACCATGCATATAATCTATCAAAGGAGATTTTTGTATATATAGTAGAGACAAAGTCTAGTTTTATTTTTTTAAAAATTAGTCTCACTTCCCACAGAGGGTTAGTTACTGTGTTACCAACTTGGCTGAACTGATATATTCATCAGTTATGACAGATCAAATTCTGGAAAAGGGCAATAAAATCAATAGAGCATTTATGGGGCTTCCATACAATTTTTTGTCTTCATAAATCAAAACAATTATTACAGAAAGAATTTTTTTTAATCTGTCTGGCAGCATAAAATAATGTTTTTGTTAATTTCTGTTCTGTATTGTGTATTTTATCAGTTCATTCCATTTTGCTCTGTTTAACCATCTAAGATAAAACCTACCTACATAATTGTTACAGCATTTTGAATTTAGTATTTAATTCCATGCAATTAAAATGCTTTAAAAGGTGTTCTCTCCACATTAATAGGGATTAAAAAACCCCAAAAAATTTGAAAAAGCAGGATCAACAATCCAATAAAATGCAGTTTTCTAGCAAAGTACTCTGCAATAGACCACATACACAGAATATATCTACTTTTGCAAACTGAAGGCATGTCAATTATCAAAACACAAGAAAAAAAAAGTCTCATTTCATTCCTTGTGGATAAAATAATTGAGTATTTTATCAAGAGAAAAGGATGGCAGAGGAGGTAATCCTTCAAATCACTTAAATGTATATGAAAATTGTTAATCTCCGAAAGTTTCAAGTGAGCAAACTGAACAGAAGCCTTCCAAAATGACACAATTCTTACCTACCTTGTCTTTCTTATCTTGCCTGGCATAGGGAAAACATGGAATTACAGCAGTCACTCTGGAGGATGATGCAATCTTGCAAGCATTGATCATGATGAGTAGTTCCATTAAGTTGTCATTTATTTCTCCACAGCCACTCTGGATAATATACACATCTTCCCCTCTCACACTTTCACCAATCTCTACACTGAAAGAGCAGGAGATGATAATTTCAACACTTAAATGATTGGAAAAGCATTACTAAAAATAATAATTAAAAAAATCCAGTTATGTTTTAACAAACTACCATAGGTTTTCTGTAAACTTCCCATTTAGAGGAGGATTATTTTTGCAGTGATTTCCCTAAAAGCCTCCTTGACAATTTCAATATAAGCCAGTATGGTGTTGATCAGGTCAGCAGCAATCAACAGCTGTAAAATCTACACCATGATGTTCAAGTAAAGCATTTTTAAAATACAAAAATCTTTCAGAAAAGCTAAGAAGGCTGCTAATCTACAGCTTATCATGCTTCAAGTCTCATGTTATGTCAGTCGTTCTCTTTGCTCTGACTGTGCTTACATGCTTTGGTTCTGTATGTGAGTATCTAAGTTTTTTTGTTCTACAGATTTCAAGACAAATGCTGGGATCAATCACTGCTCACACCACAGAATTCAAAAACTAAATTGAACTTAAAAACAAATAGGAAAAATAAAACAGTTGAATGCATAGTTCCTTCTCAATTCTAGATCCAACAAAAAACATCTACTGCTGAATCACACTAACTTTTCACATGTTACTCCAAAACTTACATATAAATATAACAGAAAAACCTTAGTTTTTTCCTAAATCCATGTACAATGTATACAAAACATACAGACTTCCTAAATGATTAAGTGATCAGACCTTGCAAATCCATGCTCTACTATGTTAGTCTCAGTTATTAAATGGTAGAATATATTGAGCCCTTATTTAAAAGGTTCTATCTTTACCCAAGACACAAATAAGCAGAAGTTTCTGACTGGAAATCATGCAAATGGCCCAGATGTGGGTAGAATGGGTTCTTCAGTGCTGAGGCTTGCTCAAGTCAAACACAGTCCTAACAAGTTTTGTTTATCAGCTCTCAGAGTGCTATATAAGACTCCTGAGCTTTCAGCAGAAAGGAATTTACTGCTTTTAAACATCTTAATGATTAGTATACATTTGACTTTTCACTATCAAGATAGTTGAGTACATGCTCTCAGCTCTCCTATTTGAGTTCTCCGCAGCCCCAAACCATCTATAGAAAGATCCTATATTAATTTTTCTCCTTAACTGAATAAATTTTTTTTGCCTAAGAATGCTACTAGCAGGATTTTTTTAAGGTCAAAAGAAAGCAAATCATCAAACATCAGGTCTCTGGAAGGACAGAGGTGGTCAGGGACAGCATCATCTGCATGTATGTCAGGAAACCTTTCAGAGGCTTTCATCATTCCACAAAGACACAATTTTTTAGTCACGAAATTGTTACTTCCCTCTCTAAGTCTTTGATTAATTGAATGAGGCCATTCAAGAAATACTGTTTTGATTGAAATATTTTCTTGTTTCCCTTTTTGAAGCTGGACAAGTTTTGGCCAACATAACATTTTTTCAGCAAGATACTAAGCGCGATACATGATTGGAAAAAAATAGCCAGGCTTAAGTAGGAGCCTTCCTGAACACGAACCCAGCTCCATGTGAAAAATCTACTCACAAGCTTACAGATGTGGCTACAATCATTATTATGGCTTTGTGGTTATTTTTAGGGCTTTAAAAAATTCTAATTGCACCCTGACTCAGCAGTTACACAGACCTGCTTTATAATAAGCATTATCTCACACCACACCTTTGGAATATGCCCAAAGAAAAATTATTTTATCACTTAGGGAAAAAAAAAAACCACAACTAATTTAAAAGTCTAACATTACTAGGAAAAAAATTGGCTGAGTGACAGAAGTACATGATCCTGATGTTCACTATATACTGAAAGAACACTTGGAGTTGTTTCACTCTTTCTAAAAACTGTCACTTCTGTGCACATCATTAAAAAAATAACAGTTTTCAGAAAGTCAAGGAATATACTTTCAGATAAATACAGGTCTGGTTAATACAGTGTACCTGAAGTGATGATTTTTCCATTATCATTAATTGTATTTTTTTCTTATGATCTTGGGCTACCAATAAACATCAACTTGTAAATAACTTAGAAAACAAACATGCTACTTCTTTCTCTCTTAGTGCATTTGAAAAAGACGTGTAGCTATGTTTTTAAGGCTAGAATGACATACTTACTTGTCACATAGAAATGTGAGTAGTCACATTTCCCAGCCAACAAGACAGCTGTGCAATAGATCAATATCTGTTATTATCTACCATCTCAAAGATTGGTGTTAAGAGGTATTGTGTGGACTCAACCAAGAGATACACACAGAGCTGCCTATTTCACCTTCCCCAAGCCAGAGAGTAAAAGATAACCAGTTATTGTGTTGCAAGTGTTCCATCAGATACAGCCTGTACTAACCATTCTGGTGGGGGTTTGGGTAGTGTTTTGAGAATTGGTAGTTAGGGCTTGTTTTGGTTTGTGTTTTTTTGCCCCATCTCTTTTTTTTTCATGTTCAGTCAACCAATAAAAGACTATAAAACTATAGATTCTGGTGTTTGAATCAGGTATTTCAAATATCTATTAGACAATACTAAGCTAACTGCAGTCAAACTCTGTGACAGTTATCTTATTAACATACTACTAAATTCCCCCATCTATATCATGACCTTATTAACTGTTATGAGGTTATTTAAACAATTTCACATAGGACACAGAGGAAGGACACAAAAACAAGCTCTTGCCTCAAGATTACAAGCTCTGTTTGTTTTATGCAATTTAATCAAATTCAGCTATTTGGTAACAGTTTAAATAAATTTCTCTTCAAGAAGAGTCAACAGAACCTGTACATTAAAAGCCCTGACACCACACAATTGTGTTTAAAAAGGAAATTTACAAAAATCAATAGGCCACAAAAGTAATTAACTCTGAGCCAGTTGCTTGGCATCCAGAAGCACAAGGCTCTAGGTGGGAAAGATACACATATGACAGGACATGATGAATACCCAGTTTAAGTGTTGGTATCTGCCTTCAACTTGCAAAGCCTGATTTGCGAATTCAATTTAATAAGTAGAAACTTGAGCAGACTAATAACCATGAATTAAGGATACAGCATAAAACCCAGTTAGGTTACAAACTTATTTCAGTGGCTGAAGCATCCATTAAGCAAAAATCAGAATCAGGAGTAATTGCAGATTGAGATCCTTTTGAGCTAGATTTATATTGCAGTCTCAACTGAACTTAGTGATGGGAACTATAAATTTGCATGTCCTAACTAAAAACCAAGCACTTGTGGGGAAACTGGGGATTAGATATTTAGAGCCAGACTGCAAAGGTAAATCATGTAAATACATAACAAGGATGTTCAAATCATACACTTGCAAGGGCTCTGGTTTTTTTTAATAATTAAGTTTCTAGCCATGCTTATAAAAAGTAAGATTTCTCAAGCAAATTAGGTGCTAATAAACTAGATGTGTACTTCAGGCCCTTCCAACACCCAGGGAAGAGGCCAAAAATGAAGGTCTAGAGTCCTCATATGGCATGCAAATGGATCGATATCTCAAAAGTGATGAAACAAATCCACATGCTGAGTTTGCAACTCATTGAAACCCAGCCAATGGCAAGCACTGAGCACAGGGTGTGTTTGACCTCTTACCTTTGGGAACACATTTCCCAGAGTAAAGTCTTTCAACCCAAGAGTTTTAACTTACTGGGCAAATATTTCATCTGGTGTAATGTCACACAGCAAAGTGGGTACCAGCAAAACCCAAAACAACAAAGAAATAATAAAAATGCCAGAGCTGGTTTTAAGGCTATAGGGATCCCATATCTCCTGGCACTCACGGTGTCCCCTCAACTCTAGGCTTTTCCACTTTGACTAACAGTTCCCCTGCTATATCTCCATTAACAACTGCCCAGTTCTAATGCAGAGCACTGGTATGGTAAACACCAGAAGATAGGAATTATCTTGTTACCCTCCTCTCTGGCACACAGCCTGCCACCACAAGAGGAAAACCCTTTTTCTTGAGCAAGTTCTGGGTTTAACAACATGCAGTCCAAAAAACTACCCTCAAAAAATTGGAAACAAACATCTAACAAGCCTGAACATGTGCAAAAACTCTTCAAAGTCTCAGTACCAAACTCTGCACTTTAGGACACCTGGACTGTCATCTACTATCTGCACATATCGAGGGTTTTTATTTGGCTTGCCTTTATTTTTCTTGGGGGGGGCGGGTGGGGAAGGTGGTGTGGGTTTTTTTGTTGTTGTTGTTTTTTGAGTTTTTTTTGGAGGGGGATGTTTTTTTAATTTCAAATATTTAGCATCCACACAAAGTTAAAAGTGTACTATATTTGGCAAGGTCAAATAAGTAGAATTCTCAAACCAAAATCTCTAAAGGATTTAGGTCCTTTTCCAATTCAGAGAAATGAACAGTGCAATAAATGGCCATATTTGCTGTGTCTTCAATTCCCTATACAAAAAAACCCACTGTTGTGTAGGCTTTAACACCTACAGTGCACAGTCCAGAAACAATTTTTACCTTCTTTAACCAAGCTGGTAAAATCTATTTCTCCAGCCTCCTCTTGCTCATGACAATGTAAGCAAGCTGGGATAGAAGGAAACAGCTGCCCTCACTGAGAGAGGCAGACCACAACCAGCCCAGCTGGGCACTATGAAGAAACATTTCACATCCCCGTGTGTCCCTAATCCCCACTGTTTTTGGCCATTCTAACACCAGTTTGTGATCTCAGCTTGCTCATTCCATGGTTAGGGATCTGCAAACACCAAACCATCTACTCAGTGAGGGTGATACAGCTCATGGATCCACACCAGCTGAACCCAAAGGAACCAGGTTACATGAGATGCAGTAAGGTCATGTCCCATCTGACACAACTGCAGTACAAGGATGCTGATGGGGAGATAAGAAGGAAGTCTTAAAGCCAAGTGACAAATTCTAAGTCCCTAGGATGTAAGTTTCCAGGTTTGCTCTTTATTTCTTTCAGTTACTTTCTTCATGAAACAAAGTGATTTCATTTTGCCACTTCGTGTAAAATATAGACTCAAACCCATCCTGGTTTCTCCAGGGAAACTTCAGCTACTTTTTCCTAATTTCCAAGATCAAATATCAGCCCACGACATCCAGTTTAATTTATTCACAAAAAATGGCTCTTGTATCAACAGCACAGCTTTTCCCATACCACAGACAATGTCCCTTTGTAGTCTTTCCATATTTCCTCCTATAAAAGCTAAATGACATTCACTTTAATTTGATGTTTCTGAAACAGTCCAGCTTCAGTAGCTGAATAAGGCTGAGGTTAGGAAGACTTCAAATTCGTATGTGCCAGACAGGACTTCAATTCCCTTCCTCTTGGATCATTTCAGCCAGTGGATCTGACAGCAAGAAGCCAAGAACCTCACAGGAATGGGTGACTAATAGCACTAACATCTCTCACCAGGAAAAATGTGTGCAAAAGAATGCCATCTGTGAGTAGTTTCTCCATTTTGAGAATAATAAGTAATCAAGGGTAGAGTTAAAATAAATGATCTTCAGAGAAGGAAGAATACCTTGTAAGAAAATAAAACTATTTACAAAGTAATAAATTTAATAATATTTTTTCAACTGACTCCCCAAAAATGTCTGCACTGGGGTTTAATTGTACAGCAACTCTAATTATATGCCACCTCAGTGTATTGGAAGACAATTTTGCAAAAAGCTTCAGAGTGTTTAATATCTGTATGCATCTGTTACATGTCAGTCTAAAAGTTTCATGATGCTGAGGCTACAACAGCCATCCCTGTTTAAGGACTCCCATTCCTTTCTTCTTCCTCCAGCCTCAAAACTGCTGATGATAGTTGGCTTGTGGGGTTTGAAGAAGATAAACTGACTAAGCCCCCACTGCAGTCCTTATCATTTTGCCAGATAAATAAGGTGGTGCCACCCAAGTTCCTACCATGACACTGTGGCTAGCACTTAACTGACACACAAGCTATGCAGACTAACAGAGTTATTGTCCACAACCACAGTTTATTGAGGAGCTCTGGTGCTGCATTTGGCAGGGTTGCCTGACTTCAGTAGCCAGCTAAAGAAAAACATTTCCATACAGTTCAAAGGGAAGGAGGAAAAAAATGGGCGGTAATTGAGTCTGCCAGCAATTTCTCCCACTTTCTCAGCACAGACATTACATTTACCAGCTACAGAACCAGAAACAATATTGATTACCTAACTCAGAAGAGGACCGTGATACTATTACTAGGTACACCAGTCTCTGTACAGATAAAAAAAGAGAAGCCTTTCCCATTTTAAATGTTCTGGAGCTGTAAACATACAGGCACTGGCTATTCAACCACAGTGCTTGTCAGTGGTGGGCCTAATCCTGGCTAACCTCAGCATCAGTTTCTCAAACCCACTTGCAGCTGCTGAGAACTGGGACTTAAACCTAAAGCCTGTTTTACTTGAAATATAATGCAAACTATTTAATAACTCTTCCCTTCACTCTATTCTGCAAGCCAGACTAATTACAACTCTCAAGTGAAAGGCTTCCAGCTAGGACCTTGTGCAAGGATTTAAGCCTGGGGCTGCACACAGTTGTCAATTTACACATAATTTATATTTAAGATAATGCAGCAAATAGTAAAACAGAGTTTTGAACAAAAGGTAAATCTCTGCAGCTTGCTAACTTAAGAGTTCTGACAAAACAAGAGTCTGACCCTCAGGGCCCAGGCTTATCTGTTTGCATGGGGGATTTTGTTGCTGGAAGGTTTAAGGTTCTTTGAGCTTTTTAACTATCAGGTTTTAGTATTCTGCAATACTGCAAGTGTATTTCATAATGCCAATACACTTGTTTATAAATTTAAAATTGGAAGAATTTTTTTTTTTTAAACGTACTGTGCTGGAGTCACTGTATATAGGAAGAAGTCATTTTTTGCTTGCATACACACACAATTTAACAGTATAGAAAGACTGAAAATCCAGAGGCCTCAGGAAAGAACCCCTCTGCATAAGTATCAACTTTACCTGTAGTTTAATTTCAAATACATTGTTGAGGAATTCTCTTGCTATTATTGCTGGAGATTTTTTATGGAGAACATTAGTCTACAAGACTAGAAAGTCAAAATCCTGAAGTAAGTTGCTAAGAATATTGAAAAAATTACTTGAAATGCTATATAGTGGATACAACTGTACTTGCTGAAGGGGAAACAAGAAATTCAGATTAGACTCTCAAAAGAAGGAAGTTGTAAAACAGATAAAATCCAAGCAATTAAAGGTTTAAAATATTACACCATTTTAGTTTAGGGAATAAAATAAATAAAAAAAGATAATGTCAGCCTTGCAACAGAAGCAATCAGAAATAATAATTCTAAAAAATACATTCTGCATATGTGTACATCGCTACTTGCCTAAAATAATAAAGTGGCACTACTAGATTAGCCAAACCACGGACACACAGCAGTCCCAACTACCTTCTTTATAATGGTAGAGAGAAGATTCCATACCTGAAAAAATAGAATATTCCATGCCTGGAAAAATAGGTGTATCCTGAAGCCCAGAATTTAATTAACTATCTTATAAAATAAATATGCAAATCTTGGACATCAATTTCTACCTTGGATGAAGTCTAAATCAATTTAGTTCTGCTGTTTGCTATGTTTCAAGCACACATTAAGATAAGTGTCTCTGGAGAAGAAACATAAAAAAAAAAAATTAGACAAGTTAGTGAGGAAGTCATGCAACCAAATACACAAGTTAAGTTTTATCATGCAGAAAGGAGATCAAAGAGCAATAAAGTGAGTATGGGGCTGGAAAGAATTGAAAGAAGATTTAAGCTTTCATTTAATCAGGAATGAATAGAAGAGTTAGAGTGTGCAAACATTAGATTGCATAAACACCAATGGAAGAGGGTTTATAGTAATGCCAGTGAGCATAACTAGAACAAGAGCAACTGCACTGAGAATGCAAAAATGTAGACAGAAAAGGACAAGCTTTGTGAGAGCAATTTTAGAACACATCACATTAATCTTTCAAAGGAAGATATCAAAACATGCTTTTTCAGGAGATTCAGAACAAGAGCAGATAAAAACAAACACACAAGAATCTCAGAGACTAGCCAGCTATTTACAGCAGGAACTTGTGTTTCAGAATCAGCTGGCAGCCTAGACTCACATACCTATACAGAGAAGCAGATGCAGTCTTACCAGCTCATGGAATGAACATACCACTGTCACCTCATTTTAAAATTCTTCATTAAAACTGGGAAAATTAAATAGGTGGGTCATAAAGCTAAGATGACACACTAGTAAAGAGCGGTAATATTGATAGAAAAAGCATTGGCAAGCACATTCCCAGACTCCAGGTGAGCAAGCTGTCCTCATGATTTCACACAGGATTTTTTGCACCGTTACCAGTTACTTCCTGTGTTTGGCTAGGAAACTGGTGTGACTGCACTATCAGGAGTAAGCCAAGGCCATCACAACAACTTGTATCACTCTCATGCATGGCCGTCAGTCTTGGACTAGGGAGAGGAGCCCTACATGAGCTGTAATGGATCCACCACACACACACCTGGCTGCTAATGCAAAATAAATACCAGTTGCAACAAATTCCGCAAGTGCAGTTTGACTTAGACCCTTTTTAAAATCTGATCCTGTTCTTATATCTGCCTGTATGCAGACCTACTTACAAAACCGCATGGCATACTGTAGTTTGTAAGACTATTTTTTTTACCCTTAGGTAGCCAAAGGTGATTAACCGCGCAGTTAATTATCTGCGAGCGGCGGGATGCACCTGCCGTCGCAGACGGGCTGCCTGTGCAAACACCATTCCCAGCGCACCGGAGGGAGGATGCTCTACACCCGCCAGAGCCGTGCCAGCCCTCCTCCGGCCAAGGAGCTGCCGAGCTGGGCCAGCACAAGCCGGCAGGGACACACGCTCCGTAGGCGGGGGAAGGGAGCGGGCACGACCAGGAACGAGCGCCGGGCAGGACACACCGCGCCACACCGAGCCGTCCGTACGCGGGTCGCCAGCGGCTGAGCCGCCCCGGCAGGACCCGCGCTGCCCCCCGAGCGGGACCCGAGACGGGCGGGGCGCGGGGACGGGACGCGCGGCGAGCGGGGCAGACGCACGCACCTGGTCTCCTGGTTGCTGAACTTCTTGGTGACCACCTTGCCCAGCTCCAGCCCGAGCCGGTCCGCCACCCGCTGGGACAGGTCGTGGTGGGAGCTGCCGCTGAAGAGCACGATGTTCGGCATGGCGGGGCGAGCGCGGCGGGCGAGGTCGGGGCTGCGGCGAGCGCGGCGGGGGAGCGCGGGGAGCGCGGTGCGGGGTCAAATAGCGGCGGAGCGGGCCCGCCCCGCCGGCAGGAGCGGGAGGGGCCGGGGCGGGGCGAGCCGGGGCGCCGCGGGGCTCAGGTGCGGCCCTTCGCGGCCTCGGGGCGGCGGCCGGGGGGATGGCTGCCGCCGCTTTCTCCGCCGCCCCGTGCCGAGCCCGGTGCGGTCCGTGCCCCCGGGCGCCTCTGGAGCAGCGCTCGGCCCGGCCGCTCCTCGGGCGGGCTCTGCCCGCGCCTCCTCCGCACCCGGAGAGAGGCACCAAAGGAAGATCCTCACGGGCGCTCGGCTGCCTGGGGGATGTGTACTTCAGGTGACGCCGGCACCTGAAAAAAGCCGAATACAGCTATAGCTTGGTTGTTGTGGGGTTAGATAGGTGTCTTACTAATTTTACTTATAGCAGAGCTGTCCTTAAATAACCCGTGACAGATTCTGTGTAAACGCTACGCGTTTTCCATTAGCTTGGTTTTGTCGATTGTTGCTTAGAAATAGGCTTATATGCAAAGTGCTATCTGCAAATTGACTAAGACAATAAAGGTCTTTGCTTTCAGGTAGAGCTGTTTTAACTTGTATGTATGCAAATAAATAGATTGCATTGGGTAGGTGACTTTAGAACTACCTCAGTTGTCCTCCCTTAGGAATTTTCTTCAAAGAGCAGGTTCTTGAACACGTGGTTATTTATGTTCTGTTCCTAGGATAATTCATGACCAAATAAACTCCATTCTTGATAAGTAAATTTTTCAACTGAACCTGAAGTCCAGTAAGGAACTTCCTAAAAAAAAACCACCAAAAAACAAACAACATCAAGAAGAAAGACAAAACCAAAACAAACAAACAAAACCCAAAAATTAAAAAAACAAAACAAAACAAAACAAACAAACAAAAGCCCCCAAGCTAAATTGAATGTTTTGGGTTGGGGAGTTGGGGATTAATAGGTTGGGTTTCTATCATTCCCGTTCTTTGCTGGTCCAGATCCTTGCATAAATTACAGACACTTCTTGCCAAGTATCTCATCATTGTAGAGGAAATATAAATAAGGGGTTTGGCTTATGGAAATATAAGTATTTTGGATTGCCACAGCATAATTCTAGACTCTGTTCTGATTGCCCTCTTTCTATTTTCTTTTTACACAATGAAAAAGAAATGTGTTTAACTGTCAGCACCGAAGGCTTATAAAGCATCTCAAAGTCAAACTTGTGATTCTTCCAGTTAATACATCTTATTCAAAGACTAATTTTGTAGGCTACATTTTATTCTGAGTTTCTTGCAAAATTCCAAATTTTGCCCACTGTCCTGATTTTGTTGAGATTTTTAGTACTGGTTAGTCTAGAGTGTTTAGACTCTGTGACAGGACATCACAGCTGCCATTAAGACTGCAAGTTTCAAATCTGTGAAAAAGGAAATTTGTCAGTATGACCTCAGGTTTATCAGAACTAAAAGCATTGCTAGACATAAAAGGGCAATTTGACTTCAAAATAATATAATAAAGGAAAACTATACTTCACTGTTCACTCAGTAACACAAGAACCTTTAAAATGGTTTTCAGGGACAGAAAAAAGACAAAAAAACAACTTGAACTTCCCACAGTCTTTTAATATATACTTGCCAGTACTGAACCTTACAATGAAATTGGTGATTGTCTTGATCCACTCTTTTTTCCCTAATGCATCCAATTAAAACTCTTATCCTCATAATTATTATATATTCCTTTATCTGCTGGCTTAGCAAAGCAAATTTCTTTTTGGCCCATTAAGACTCTTGTGCCCAACAGCTAAATAGTGTTTATCCAGTAGCTACAATATAGAAATTACATTTTAAAACTAGTCATGAAGGCTGTCATGCAAAATAAATTATGGTGATTGACATGCTAAATGTGATTATCTTTTCCTTGGTGGTCATAGACTAAAGTAGCAGACCAGAATTCAAAAGTTAGTGCCATCCCTACTTGAAGCTTTGTACTCTGCTAAAGAAAATAAAAAAACATTCTTTTGGTAAATGAAAACAATAAGGGAGGTATCTGCCAAACAGGAGAAATTAAAACTCTCAACCAGAAATTGCTTTCTTCCTTTTATCATTCCGTTGTGGTTAGAAACAGTCTCGCCTGATATGTAGGCTGCAATAATCTGCAAAGAACAAGATGCTCTTTTCTGGTAACTAGTTGTCAGTGAGGAATGGTCAGTTTAGCCAGGACAATGACTGAAACAGCTACAAGTCTGCTTGACCTGAGAAAACATATGTGAACCAGCTCCTGCAACAGGAAGCAATTCCAGCAAAGGTGTGAGAGACAAGGAACAATAAGACACTTCTAAATATCAGAAGCAGAAATCAGAAATTCTCTGATTTTTCTCTGAAAATTTTTTGCCCATCTTGATTTCTTTGCTCTGCAGTTTTGTAAATCTAAGCATACAGCTTACTTTATGATTTTCATTACAGTTCCCATAGTAAAAAATATTACACCATGAAAAAAGTCAAAGTAACTCAGGGCTTTAGTATTTTTTGTATCACAATGCCTTCTGATTGGTAAGGATTTTTGTTTGACTTTTTCCCTTCCAATTACAAAATTATTTTTATGGGAGAATTTATGTTGGGGAAAAAATCCCAGACTTAAAAGAACTGACAAAAGTCCCCATTGGATCTCTGGAAATACAATCTGAATATCAAGCTATTTAGTTCCTTCATTTTACTGTCATTATTTGCAAGAGTCCATTGACCAATTTCTGCCCTCAGTTACATCATTTGGTTAGCAAATCATGGCTCTGGTCTCGAAATGGTCATGAAAAATCTGAGATTTAAAATAAATAGTTGCTGGCTATTTTTGTTGTGTGTATTTTCAACTGTAAGTGTACTTTTTTGTCACGATTTCAAGATTTTCTCAGAATCTCCCTTAAAAACCTTTAAAAAGCAGCTAATATTTGCTTATAATAACTTGTCTTCATAGACTTTGGCTTGAAGAGTAAAAAGTAAATAATAAAGGCCTTGATATGGAATAGCAGCAGCTGACAACATTACAGTCATATCTGTCCAAACCTATTATCTCTGCATTTTGAGACCTGTGATTCTATTGTTTTCAAATGCTGATCTTGTTCTTCCAAAGCTTGTTCTATCCTGCAAGTATAAAAACATACAAATTTGTTAAATGAATAACCCTACTGAGAAAGTATAAAATTTTGTCATAAAACCCCTAAAGTTTTTCCTACCACTCCGTAATTTAGCATTTTTTTCTTGATCTTGGCTATACACAGCTTCCAACTTCCCCTCAATGTTCCTAACTTCCACATAGCTCCACTAATCTTCCTCCTAGCTTCCAAATTCCCAGTGCTTCTTGGCTTTGTTCTATGGCTTCCCATGATAATTTCTAACATTATATCTGGATATTTTCTGAATACTGAATATTTCAATTGCTGCTTCTATTTTAGATCCACAGCTCTGTGATGTCCTATTCAGCTGCTATTGAAATCTCTTTGATCACTTAGCTCTACTTTTCTTTGTCAGCAGATACAACTCCTACTGTCTCACTGACTTTATTCTGGAAAACAGCTCATTGCCCTTCTTACATTTATTCTGAAGGAAGATGCTAAGCCAAACTCTTTTCATAAATTTCTCCTAATGTGCATCGTAGACACCTTGACTCTAATCATCATCTAACAAGTGCATCTTGTACAATAGAATGCATCATGATCAATAGAGAGGAAAATAAAAGAATTTTCAAACTGCAGGTTACATAAATTTAACTGTTCATTTCATTCTTTGCTATCTGGACATTTTCACATCAATGTTCTAGACTGTTCTTAGTCCCCTACCTATCTACTCAGGGATGTTTTCTGCTTCTCTACATGATTTTCTCTTAAACTGCCTTTATTTGAGCAACAGATAATTGTCTTTTGGTGTTGAGAAACCCAGAAAACTCGTCATTACTTTTCCAGTCTGATCTTCAGTGGATGTGTTTCAACTGCAGGAAGCAATCACTCATTCTTCTAGCCAGGACAAGTTACAAAATTTACATATATATGTCACCTCATAATGCTGCAGTTTTCCCAGACAGCTTACAAAGTACCTTTCAGGCTTATATCTAAATAAGTATTGTCTGGAATCTGTAGTTCGTCCTGAGCATAACTTTGCCACATAACCATAACTAAAATGGTCAGCTGTAGGTAGTGTGGGTATTTTTATTGTTTTTTCCTAGGGATTTAGACCAGGATCCTTCCATTAGGGCTTCCTGGTGAATCGTGAAACATTTTAATTTTTTCAGAGATTTAGTTCCTAAATCCTTAATTATTTAGTTCCTACTACTAAATAATTTATCAACTTTTTGTATGCTGGGTTTTTTTCCCAAGAGTTAACTTCCAGTTTCTGTAATACCTCTTTCTTAAATCCCTTTTCACTGTTTTTTTTTTTTCTTTCTTCCATGATTTTGCCTGCTTGATCTACAGAGTATCCCATAATCTTCATCCTTGGATGATGCATCTCTAACCTACTACCAGGGCTTTTACCTCTGTTTGCTCCAGTTAGTCAACCACCAGTCTTCAACATCTTTTTACCACATGCCTGAGTAAATAAAGGCAAGACAGCAGACTGATCTTGGAATTAAATATTTCTTTGTAAGTCTGTATATAAACAGATTGAAGTTGATTTGCAGAACACAGGCTCTAGGGATCTGTTACTGGAAAAATGATCATATCAGTGCCAAGGTAAGGTGGAAGGACAGAGCAAAATGTTACGTATCATCCATTCAGGTATCAGAGGCAAAAGATCAAGATTTCAGAAGACTGTTTTCTACCCCTTTAAAAACTGCCTTATTCAAGATAAAGGATCAAAGTTTTCCATTTCTTTTGTAAGGCTGAATCTGGTGCATTCTGCTTCAGGTTAATTTAGAAAATTTTAGCTTGTCTTTTGTGCATCTTGATTCTAAGTCTAGACAGCCATAGGACTCCAGCTTATCCTGCAAGCTTGTCTGCTTCCTCTTTAATCTTCTACTAAATGAACACATCACCG